AAGAAAGAAAGAAAGAAAGAAAGAAAGAAAGAAAGAAAGAAAGAAAGAGAGAGAAAAGTTTAAGACAGGATCTCACTATGTAACTTTGGCTGTCCTGGAACTTGTAATGTGGACCAGGTTGACCTGGAACTCAGAGAGATCCACCTGCTTCTGCCCCTAGAGTGCTGGGATTAAAAGTGTGTGTCACCAAGCCTAGCATGGAAAAATAATTTTTCTTTATTCTTTTAAAGAGGTTCAATTTTTATAGTGGTGATGAGGTTGTGCGAAAGGCAAGGCAGGCTGGGGGGCGGGGCTGGGGCTGGAGCGAGGGTGAAGCGTCTCCAGTCAGACCGGAAGAGAGAGCAGATGAAGGAAGTGTGCTTCTTGTCAACAGTTGTAAATGGAAATGAGTTTGCACACTGCTGTGTTGCCCAGAATTCCTACAGGCTTGACATTTTTCAGTGTAAAAATGTGGGGGAAGGGCTGGGCACGTAGCTCAAGGACAGAGCACTTGTCTAGCACGCATGAGACTCTGGGTTCACTTCCAGCAATACGGAAAAAAGGGGGTGCTGGGAGGAGTTCTGGACTGTCCCCTCTCTAGGAATCGGTTCCCCTCTGTGAATGGGGTGGAGCTGGACACCCCTAGGCTCTGACTCGCTGGGTAGACAATTTATTCTGGGCAGCCAGAAAGTCCCAACAATAGGCGCTCCAGAGCAGGGACGGGGTTTCCTGCAAGAGTTTTTACTGGCTGGCTTTTCTGACTTTGTGATTGTTTGTGCACCTGGGTTTTTACTGGGGGTCCTCAGGATTGATGTCACTGGCGCAGCCGCTGGTAAGAGAGAGCAGGCCTGCAATCTCATGACTTCTCCAGGCCCTGCTGTTTCCTATGAGAAAAACAAACACAATATCTTCTCATCTCCCGCTTTGTTCAATTAAGGGGAAATGTTTAAATAATAATCCCCAAAGGCCCAAACATGCTCAGCAAAATAAATAAAGCAAAACCTCCTCGGGTTTGTAGTCAGGTCTCCACTTTAAAGCCTGCTGGCTTTGGAACTTGGCTGGGAGATTCACGAGGAATGATGTCGGCCAGTTCCCTTGGGGGTGACTGGTGCTGATCTCAAAGGACAGGGGACTAACGAAGACCCCTAGGCAAGATGACTCAGTCATCGCAAGAGACAAAGAACCAGCCTTGATACTTCCCATGCCCCTATAGTGGCCACAGCCATGTGTAAACATTTCAAAAGCTTTTTGCAAGTTAATAATATCTTGGTTTGTTGTGCTTTTTGTTTGAGACTGTTTCACTATGCAGCCTGAAACTCACTCTGTCTCTTCTGCCTCCTGCCTCTGTCTTTGACTCTCTCTCTCTCTGTGTCTCTCTCTGTTCCTCTCTCTCTCTCTGTCTCTCTCTCTCTTTTGCTCGGTCTTTGAGGCCTTTTCTTTCCTTTCCTTTCCTTTTCTTTTCTTTTCTTTTCTTTTCTTTTCTTTTCTTTTCTCTTCCTTTTTCTGATAAATCCCAGGTCTCAAGTAGTAGGCTGGCCTCAGATTACAGAAAACACAGAAAAAATTCTGTGTGTAATGGAGGATGGCCTTAAAACTTCTGACAGCGTGCTTACGTAGCAGCCCGACGTAAATCCGTCAGGAGCTGGAGACAGGAGGATCAGAAGTTCAGTCCAATTTTCCCTTTTCAACCAGAGACTGGCTGAAAGTGGCTGAACTTCATTCCACTCGTGATCTGGGTTTGTGTACAAAATGCAGTCAACTGCTTCCTGAACCCTGGTCTCCGGGACCAGTGTGGGAGCATCAGGAAGTTCAGTGCCGAGAAAGGTTAAGAACAGCCCAGCCCTGTGCAGGCCTCTTTCCAGTACAGCGTCGGCAGATTGTGGGGTCGAAATTCTTACCCCTGAGCTGCTTTTCCAAGAGGCCAGACAGACCTGCCTCATGGGTTTACAGGCTAGGGAGTCTGCCGGCAGTGTAACAGGACAAGGCTTTCAGTGTTAGTCTCTGACCCTGCTGACAGAGGCTGTGGGAGTCCATCACTCTAAGAAAGCAGAAAGACACTGTGGGAAATGGGAGTCCTCACTTTGTAATAAGTGTAGTGGAGACTCATAATAGGGAAATCAAAATGGCAAAATGGCTGGTGGGCCCCTTTGGAATAGAACTGGTACTCATATTCCTGATGCATTTCCCTTCCCGCTTGAAGTCTACACTGGCTGAGTTCTTCAGGGAGTGTCTAGTATTGCTCCTGCCCCAGCGACCCCATCCTATTGGTTCAGCACACAAAGCCTTACCTAACGCATATGATGGGGTTCAAAATTTGTGCTTTTTCTTATCATGGGCTCAGTTACAGAGCCCACTGCCTGAGACTTTGAACCCTAGAATGACTACATAGCGTCTAGACGTGTGGAGCCAGCTACAGAAGACAGGGATCCAGTGCCTCCTGCTTCTCTAATCTCACTGTACCTCGTGTGGAGAATGGCTATAATGGTTTGTTTCTTACAACCCAAGAGAAGAAACCCAAAGTCCCAGGCTTCTGATGGTCACCCATCTTGCCCCTGCTCTGAGCACTTCCAGATGGCTTTAAACAATCCCACCTCTCTTGGGGCTCAACCTTCATAATACATTCATAAACTACCTGACAGCTCAGCATTTAAAAATAAATACAACTCAACCGGGCGATGGTGGTACATGCCTTTAATCCCAACACTTGGGAGGCAGAGGCAGGTGGATCTCTGTGAGTTCAAGGCCAGCCTGGTTTACAAGAGCTAGTTCCAGGACAGGCACTAAAGCCACAGAGAAACACTGTCTTGAAAAACCAAAAAACCAAGACAAAACCAAAAAACCCAACACGTACAGCTCTTACAAAGGACCCACGTTCAGTTGTCTGCTGTGAAAGCGTAGGCATCATCTAAGAGCATTACAACCCAAGCAGCTCCTGTCGGGGAGTCACATCCAAGAGCAAAATCCCGCTGAGGGTAGAGACAGGGGCTTGTTACATACCCCATGTCCTGTGGGGTATGTAAGTTTATTAATACTAGATGAGTGAATATGCTTTTAAAGGGGCTGGCGAGGTGGTTCAGCAGTTATAGCACTGGCTGCCCTTCCAAAGGACCCGGGTTCCATTTCCAGCACCTACATGGCAGCTCACAACTGTCTGTCACTCAAGTCCCATTGACCCCCGACTCCCTCACATAGACATGCATGTAGGCCAAACACGGAATGCACATAACAAGTTATAAGTAGGCTTTAAAAATTGGTATACATAGCTTAGAATGGGGGAAAAAAGCTCTTTGTGGGTGTCAAGTTCATTTTAGGTCATTCCAGACAAGGTGCCCTGGAAGGACACTGGCGCAGAATGGCTCTGGAGCAGACGGGAGGAAAGTTCGCAAGTGTGTTTTGAAGGTTACACCAACAGGTCACCATCAATGCGTTAGATGTAGGGTCCAAATAAGGGGATGGGTATCTAGAGGATCCAGAACTGGCTGGAGGAGTCAGGATTGGAACTGGAATCTGACACCTGAGAGAGGCCAGGGTGATTACAGATCCAGGGAGGGGGATCCAAGACCTACTGCTCCCCTTCATACTACAGGAGAGGACCTGAAGTCACAGAGGAGGTCAGATGTCAGGGATTTCCTGTTCCTGACAGTGTCCATCTGGGTCAGGATCTGAGTCTCAAGCCTGGGGCAGTCCCTGGAGGCAGTTTCTCCTGAGCAACAGACACAGGTCGATTCACTGATTGACAACCTGACTTTAGGCAACATGCTCCTCTCCTGCCTGCTGCCCCATCTCATGCTGGACACGGAGAGCTGAGTTAGGTCAGATTCACCAGGGCCTTGGAGAAGCCTACATGACAATCCAGAAGGGCATTTGGGCGGGGACCAGCAGGCTTGGCTACTGCACGCACCGCAGAAAGGTTAACTTTTCTGGGTTAGTAGGACAAAACTGGTTTGTCAACAACTGGAATGAAGCCTGCAGCAGACCTGGCTCTGTCTGTCAACTGTGAGGTCTGGAAACCCTTTTCTGATCACTCCCTTGTCCCCCTATCTCCCACTAAATCTTGTCACCAGGTTCCCACAGGCCCCATATCCTGGGCCAACCCTAGTGGGTCTGAGCCAAAAGAATGAATGCAAATGATAGACCTATGAACTCATGGAGGTTATGGCTGAGTGCACAGGGCGGGCACAGGTTCAGGCAGAGGTGAACCCACACTGAGAAGGGGAACTGGACGCAGGGTCTCACCCCTAACCAAAATGCTCAGTGCAATTGATACCACCAAGCAAAGGAAAACCTAGTTTTCTCCAGTGGAGTGTCACCGAGTATATTAATCTCACTTCCGGGGAGGCCCCGTGCCCAGGAGTAGTTGGCTAACACAAAATTAACTCAGGGGTGGTTTTGTGGGCGTTTTGCATCATTTTGCTTCGTTTAGGCATTTTTTTGTCTTACTGGTCTTTTGCTTGTATATTTTAGCTTCGATGTTTGTGCTTTTGTGGGAGTTCTGTGGTCGTTTCTGGTTTTTGTTTTTTTAAAGAGAGAGAGGGTATAGAATTGAGTGGGTGGGGAGGTTGAGAGGGGCTAGAAGGAGTTGGAAGAGGAGAAAAATGGGTTCAGAATATATTGTATAAAAAAATTCTTTGATTGAAAAATAATTAAAATTTGTTTTGAGATTAAAAAAGAGAATTGAAGGTTGTGGTGATATATACATAAATAACAGCTATAGTTTGGGAAAAAGGAGTATGAATGCAGACTCTAGGGAGCAACTTGCAGAAACCCCGTGAGACAGTCTGACTGACGATGAGTCTCACCCTGGCCTCACTGGGCTAAATGCCACAGTGACTGCCCTAGACTCTTGAAGCCTGTATCTGGTATCCGGTGACCTCCCTAGACTCTTGAGAGTCTGCATCTCAAACCTGGTGACCTCCCTAGACTCTTGAAAGCCTGCATCTGGTGCCAGGGTGCAGCTTGGTTCTGTGTGCTCCCATTCCCAAAGGCTGTTTTAGAAGTTCTTAGGCAAGCTGGAAGAAGAAAATGGGTGGGTGGGGGGGTCCCCAGAACTCTGTGTGCTTTGACTATTGCTCCCACCCTGTCCATCTGGGTCACTTCATGGTTGTCTGCAAGGGGTTTCCATGAATCTCTAGATACACTGTCTCCATAGTGGTTTGGTGGAGAAACTGAGGCCCAGAGGGAAGACACTGTCCAACCAACCAGTAGGACTTTAGTGGGTGGACTTAGAACTTTGTTTGCCCCTTCACTCCCCTGGTTTCTCCCAGACCCTCTTGCCATCCGCCTCAGGTCAGGTGCAAGGCAGCAGCTCTGACTTGACCCTTTCTGTTGCAGCCCTGAGAAGTTACTTCCTGACATCAGAACACTATGCCTGCTGTAGAATTAGCTCTCCAGTTCACATCCTTGTCCTCAGCCAACCATCTATGCCCTTATAACCCTTAAAGTCTTCCCAGACTGGTTCACAAGGGTCCTCGTGCACGGGGCATCTGAATGTATAAATAACCCCGGGCAAGTCCCCATACTTTCTTGCACTATGTCCTTATTTTAAAATGACCATCATGTCTCCTTTGAGGTCTGCTGTATTTATAAGATAATGTGTGGGGCATGACGGTGCATGCCTATAATCCCATACTCATGCAAGCAACCATAATTAAAATGAAGGAGTTGGGCTAGAGAGGCTGCTCAGAGGTTAGAGGATGGTACTCCTTTCTTGCAGAGCAATGGAGTTCAGTTCCCAGCACCCATACAGGGCAGCTCACAACTGCCTGTAACTGTAGCCAGAGAAGATCTGATGCCCCTGAGGGTACCTGCACTGATGTACACATACCCATACAAGTAATTTAAAACAAACAAATGAAAAGTAGAGTTGGGTGGTAGTGGTGCACGCCTTTTATCCCAGCACTCAGGAAGCAGAGGCAGGCCTCCTGCAGAGTTCGAGGCCAGCCTGGCCTACAGAGCAAGTTCCAGGACAACCAAAACTACATAGAGAGATCCCTGTCTCAAATACATACATATGCATGTGTGTGTGTGTGTTTATGTGTTAAAGTGTTTTGTCTGCATGTTTGTATGCAGACCACATGTGTATCTGGTGCCCATGGAAGTCAAAAAAAGGCCAGCAGATCCCCTGGAACTGGAGTTATGAATGACTATAAACCATGTGAGTGTGGGGAAACTCACCCAGGTTCTCTGCGGGAGCAACAGGTGCTCTGAACTCCCGAGCCATCTCTCCAGTCCCTCAAAGAATAAGTTTAGAAGACAAAACCACTCTCTTTCAGTCTGAAGATTTCATCGAGACCACACAGGATGGGTGAAGCGATAGAGGAATTTGCTGAAATACACTTGGAACAAGGTAGCTGCCTCCTGAAGCAGAGTAAGTTCCGAGGCCTGGCAAGTCCACAGTCAAGGTTTCTGGAGATTCTATGTCTAATGAGGGTATTTTAGGCGGTGCCTTTCTCACTGAATCTTCGCATGGTGGAAGGCGGCAAGTTTCTGAAGCTTCTTGTATAAGAGCACTAATTCTGGACCACCTCTGAACGACACTGGCTTAAAGACACCACACCGACTTTGATATAGCTATTAAAGCTATATCACATACCACATACCACATACCACATACCACAGTTGTAACAACAAAGAAGAATGCCCAAGCCTCAAGAGAGGAATCATATACAGAGAATTTTATTAAAAAGCAGATTGAAGACTTCAACATAGGGAAAAGACACTTAGCCAATGTTACGGGAGAAGACCCGGAAACTTTTACCAAAGAGGATATTGGCAGAGCTAATGCTTACCTTTTTCCAAGTGGTTTGTTTGAGAAGCAAGCCAGGCCAATAATGAAGCATCCTGAACAAATTTTTCCAAGACAAAGAGCAATCCAGTGGGGAGAAGATGGCCGTTCATTTAATTTTCTCTTCTACACTGTTGAACAATCATACTATTCATTAATGCATGAAGTGTATGGAAAGGTCCTCCAGCTGGAAACGCACAGAGGTCCACTTTCAGAGAAAACGGAGTCCAGAGACCTGATTGGCAGCAGATGGCTGATTAAGGAGGAACTAGAAGAAATGTTAGTGGGAAAACTATTACAAAATACCTATGTCAGATCAAGATTATGTGCAGTTCATTCGACTGCTGGAAAAGTTATTGACATTGCCATATGGTCCTGTCGAGGAAGAATTTGTACAGAGGTTCCGCAAAAGTCTAGCCGTCCAATCAAAGAAGCAGGTGATCGAGCCGTGCAGCACGGAGCGAGGCATGGCCTTCAGCGCCAGCGAAGGCAGGAGGAAGAGCGCCACAGCACAGGCGACTGTTTCCGAGCACGGAAGTGGGAAGATCCACGTGAACGGAGTTGATTATCTGCTTCACTTTCCTGTCACACAGGACAGAGAACAGCTCATGTTCCCTTTCCACTTCCTGGACCGGCTGGAGAAACACAATGCAACCTGCACAGTCTCCGGGGGTGGAGATCAGCGCACGCGGGAGCCATACGCTTGGCAATGGCCAGCGCTTTGTGCGGCTTCGTCACCGAGGACGAGATAGAGTGGATGAGACGAGCTGGACTGCTTACTCCTGACCCGTGGATCAGAGAATGGAAGAAGCCAGGCCAGGAGGGTGCCCGAAGGAAGTTCACCTGGAAGAAGCGCTAAGACTTTCACAGGCGAGCAAGGAGCACCTGTGTCTTTATGCCCGGTTCATGGTAGAGCACATTCGTGTACACTGGCCAAGGGCAGGCAGCACATTTAGACATTGTTTTTAGTTTGAGTCATAACATGGTTTATTTTTAAGTGCTGTTTTGTTGTGATTATCATTAAAAATAATACAAATAATGTTAGTTTCGTTTAAAAAAAAAGAAAAGTATCACTGAGCTAGTATGTAGGAAGTGCCCTCTATGTGCTGTTATCCTAGCAGTTACTGAACAGAGCCAGCCCTCGGGAGACTGTACCGGAGGTGTCGTGTATCACATAATCACACAAATATGTGTAAAGCCACAACAGGGGAGGAATAGGTTCCTGGGATATCATCTGGGTTTGTCACCTTAGTGGCTCGACAGGAAGGTCCCTGAGGGTGGTGTAACTCAACCTGAGTGGATAGCATAATGGCCCCTGCTTCAGCTCTGGGTCCTTCTCAGCTTTGGGCCTTCTTATGGGGTGCGTGTCCATCGGAACCAGCACATCTGGTGTCCTGTCCCTTAGGAGAGAGAGTGACCAGTCATGCAGGTTAGCTCTGAGATACTGGTGGCATCTGGATCCACTTCAGGCCTCATGTCCTGGCACCAAACTGCTTGGGATGACCACAAAACGTTAGGACTGTTAGCTGGGCAGTGATGGCCACCTTTAAAACCAGCACTTGGGAGGCAGAGGCAGGCGGATCTCTGTGAGTTCAAGGACAGGCTGGTCCACAAATCGAGTTCCAGGACAGCCACGGCTGTTGCACAGAGAAACCTTATCTCAAAAAAAAAAAAAAAGAAAAGAAAAGAAAAGAAAAAAAAAGAAAAAACCAAAATCAAAACAAAAAAAAAAAGTAGTGGGACTATTGAATGGCATTCCTGCATAGGTGGAACCTAGAACAGGAGTCTGCTGAATGGAGGGTCCAGGATGGAAGGCAAAGCAGAAGAAGTAGGGCAGCCCAGAACTCTATTCTCCATGCTTTTTAACTACTCTACTAATTGTGAGTATATGTGTGTGTGTGTGTGTGTGTGTGTGTGTGTGTAGGTGCACACACACCACAGCCCAAGTGTGACAGTGAGGTGACAACCTCTGAGACGCAGTTCTTGCCCCTCACCTATGGGCCCCAGGGATTGAACTCAGGTCATCCGGCTTGACAGCAGACACCTTTACCTGTTGAGCCATCTCACTCACCCCAGACTAGAAACTCTTCAGAGAACCTCCCAAGAAGTGTGAGTACAAAAGGACCCAGGAAAGAGAGAGCAAGGAAGCTGAGGGGGAACTAGGGAAGAGATGGAAGTGCGGGACTCGGGGGAGACTGGGTGATGGAATGGAGTCGAGGATGCCTAGTGATGGGGAAGGGTGGGTAGGGATAGGATGAGGCCTTGCTTGTGGAGTTCCCAGGAGAATGATGGGAATTCAGCAATGATGCTGAGTCCACAAGAACACAGGCTGAGTCTACAAGAACGCAGGCTCGGGGTCCAGCCTGGAGGCCACTGGAGGCACAGAGCTAGGTAAAAAAAAAAAAAAAAAAAAAGTCTCAAGCCAAGCAGGACCATAGCCAGAGCGTAAGGAAAACAAGCTGCAACCAGAGAAAAGAAAACTTCTGAAAAGCTGAACAAAAGCACCCCCAGCCCTCAGAGCCGCACGTCTCCCCAGAATCCAAGGTGCATAGAAAGGACTTTGGAGGTACACTGGAACTCCCTCTCTAGAGACAGACATGCCTCAGACAGGGATCTTCCCCCAGAAGCTCCTCAAGGAAGCAGCCCTACCTACCGCCTTCTGACCTGCAGAGGGAGAGGATCAAGTTGGGTTATTTTAAACCACTAGCCGTGTAATGTCTGGTACAGCAGCCAGCAGGAACTGACTCAGAAATAAAACACCTGCAGATGGCAGTTCTTAGCTCTGGGGGCTGGGCTACAAGAACCCTTTTCTCTTTTTTCTTCTTAATTTCTAAACTTTTCAATTTCCCTATAAAAACACTGTAAGAGTTTGCTTTTTTTGCTTTTTTCTTTTCTTTCTTTCTTCTTCATTTTCTTCTTCTTTCTTCTTCTTCTTCTTCTTCTTCTTTCTCCTTCTCCTCTTCCTCCTCCTCCTCCTCTTCCTCCTCCTCCTCGTCCTCGTTCTCCTCTCTCTCGTCCTCCTTCTTCTCCTTTTTTTTTTTTTAAATAGACAGGGTCTCACTGTGTAGTCTTGACCCTGCACTCAATATGTAGACCAGGCTGGACCTGAATTCAGAGGTCACCTGACTTTGCCTCCTGGGTGTTGAAGGCATGTTCCACCACACCCAGTTCTACTTTTTTTGGTTGTGGTGTGGGTGTGTCTCTGTGTGTGTAGTAGCCCAAACTGGCGTGGGATTCATTAAGTAGCCCAGAGTAGACTCCAACTCCACGCAATCCTGCTGCTGGGGCAGGGACCCTGGACTGCACACTTTCTAGGCAAGCGATCTACCACCCAGCTTCATCCCCAGCCCTCTTACTTTTTATTCTAAGACAGGGTCTCACTAAGTAGCCCAGGCTGGCCCTGAAGCTTCCACGCTGCTTCTTCTGCTCTCCCAGCAGCTGGAATTCTAAGCGAGTGCCACACACCTCCTTATCCTATCCACATGAGGCATGCTTGTTCAAAACAAAAGGTTCCTACTCATCTCTACCACACAGGGGCACTGATCAGAGCACCAGCCCTTTGACCTCCTCTAACCTTAGTGATTTCCCCAGGGGTCCCATCCCCAATAACAGTCACACTGGGGTGAGGTTTCAACTCATGAATTTGGGGTCACTCACACTGTCAGAATTTGGGAGCTGGAACGATGACTCAGGTTAAGACAGCGTGCTGCTCTTGCAGAGGATCCAAGTTTGGTTCCCAGTACCCTAGTCTGGTGGCTCACAACGGCCAGTGACTCCAGCTCCAACGGAATCTGATGCCTCCATAGGAACCTGTGCTACGGGCACATACTCACGCATGCGTGAATGCATGCATGCGTGTGTGTACGTGGGTAAAAATAATGACAAATCCTTTCAAAATTTGGGCAGAGAATGGGGCAGTCTGGGAGAACCAGCTATGGCTCAGGGCAGAGGGGCCACAGTCTAGATCCAAGACTGTGGGAAGCCAAGCCCGAGGCCCAGCCCTGTGCCTGCTCATCTGGTCATCATGTCACCAATGGTCATTTGGCTCACCTATGTCCTAGGGAAAGGAACTGAACTCTGACTCCTGGACAGGGTCCTCTCTAGGATAAGAGGACAGACCCTCTCTGTACCCCCGTGTGTCTAGGAACAGGCAAGACAACCTAGGTTATTACTACCCATAGTTCTCAGAGTCCTTGGCCGTCTAAAGTCCATGCCAACTTTGTCCTCCCTCTCCCATCTCCCTGGGCATGTGGTGAAGGCTTGTAGGTCCAAGGGAAAGGTTTGGGCCTACATCTAACCTTTACCTGGGCCACAAACCCTGGGAATCCTGGCCCAGCTAGGTTTTTACCATTTGCCTCCATCACACAGTCGTGGAGAACTGAAGCTGGAATGTGAATCCAATCTCACTCTTGTCTTGACTTGAGCCTCACTGTGGCGCATGTGTGAGCAGAAGCCCACCACTGACCTATGGCTGAGAACTAGAGCACATTCAAACCCAACCTTGAGAGAGAGTCTCTTCCAGAGACCACAGAAAGCCACCTAGTGTGCTGGTGTTCCTTTTTAGGCACCTCTGAGCTCACACATACAGGACCTGTTTCTCAAGTGAACCTTCCATCCCAGCAGGCAGAGCCACTGTAGGAGGAAGGGCCCTCTGAAAAACAATATAAGCAAGGCCAAGGATTGACACCAAGGTCCTGCTAGAGCAGGCCCGGAGGGCTCCTTTACTGGGACGGGTCAAGGCAGCCTGGGGTAGGCACATGACGAGGTGAAGGTTGACAGGCAAGGCTCCACCAAGGGGGATCAGAGTGCTGTAAAACACTCCGGCTCTCAGAGGTAATCCCCTGAGGACCATTCCAGGCTGGTGAGTGACGCAATCTTATTTCCAGCCTGTGACTCTTTGACCACTGTTCCCAAGAAGATAGCACTGAATGCCAGCCAGTGCAACAATGAGGCCCCAACCCCAGACCTGGAAGACTTCCTGGAGGCAGGATGCCTCAAGGAAAGTCAATGTTCCTGGCAGAGGGAATTGCTTGTGCTATGGTGGGGTGAGAAGAGCAGGGTGCAGGGTGCGGGAGGCTTGCTAGGAACTGCAGGCCCTTGGGCAGGAATTCCCTGACCGGCGTGTCCCTGCGTCCCCCGCACCCAGCGCAGGTGTCAAGCGCCCTCTGGCGGCGCTCGTGGGCTCTGCATCCACGGAGGGGTGACCGTGTGCACCAGGGTGGTCCGTCCAAGTTCTATCAGAACTAGGAAAAGAAAGCTTTGCGATAGAAAAATTATCATTGTCTTAAGTTTCCTTCTTGCTGCTATGCTAAAATGCCCGGACAAACGTAACTTAAGGAAGGGTTTATTTGGGCTCACAGCTCAAGGGACGAGTGCGTCACGATGGGGAAATCAAGGCAGTGGGAGCTTCCACACCCACAGTCAGAGACAGGAATGAACACATGCATGCTAGTGCTCCGCTCGCTGTCTCCATTTTATATGTCCCAGAATCCCTTGCCCAGAGAATGCGACAACCCACAATTAAAATGGGCTTTCCTACATCAGTTAACACGAGATGGATGCCCCAAAGCCATGCCAAGAGGCTCAACTTCCAGCTCATTCTAGATTCTATTGTGCTGACAATTTACACCCACTATCACAAGCATATTCTTTGTTTTCTGGTTTGTTTTTTGCTTTGTTTTGTTTTGTTTTGTTTTGAGACAGGGTCCTTATTACATAATGGACTTGACTATCCTTGAACTCACTAGATAGACCAGGTTAGCCTCAAACGCAGAGATTCATTGCTTCTACACACAAAGAGCTAGGATTAAAGGGGTGCACCACCATGCCCAGGTGTTTTCTAGTTTGTTTGTTTGTTTTTTTAAGACAAGGTCTTACGTAGCTGAGGCTGGCCTTGTAGTCAAAAATGACCTTACAATAACTGCCTCCACTTCAGAAGTTCTAGGAGTAAAGGCTTGTGCCACGACACC